GGCATGCTGTGCAGCTGCTGACGTCGCCCAGAGACGGCAGCCAGCACGAGGAGGCACCTCATTGCATCGTGCCTGCTGAGCATGGGCGCAGCAGACATGGTGCTGCACCTGCTTGACTCCGACGACCGCCGCCTGGTGCTGATGGCGTGCCAGCTCGGCTGGCAGCTGCTCAAGGCAACCCCGCGCGTGTTTGAAGTAAACGACGAGCCCGACGCTGCCGCCGACCGCCAGAGCCCCGGCGGCGTGAGCGGGAACCGCAGCCTCTGTGCGCAGGAGGTGTTCTATCGCGCGCTTGAGTCTGGTCCAAAGGCGGCCAGGGGCATGGCAGCGCTGCACCGGCACCTGCAGGGCATGGTGACGGATTTGGCGGAGCGCGAGCGTGAGGGCCCGCTGCAGCGGCTGAAGCGAAACCAGGACTCCGAGGACCTGGACATGGCGATTGGCACGCGCGTGCTCGGCTTCATCGAGGCCATGTGCGACGGCTGCTACCGTGACATGCAGAACCTGCTGCGGTCTGCGGAGGGCCAGGGCACGGCCGTTGTCTCCGAGGTTGGTCGCCTGGTGCAGGGCATGGACCACATCGTTCGCGCCAAGAGCAGCGCGCCCATTGGAAGCTCGTGCGAGGAGGGCCAGCCAGACGCTGTGCTGCACCTGCACAACGACCTGAGGCGCGAGGTGAGCGACATCACTTTCACGCAGCAGTTGTTTGCCACTCTGGGTGCCCTCATCAGCGGACCAAACATTGAAAATCAAACGGTCATTCTGCAGCACAAGGCGACCAAGTCCGTGCTGCTGTTCTTGCAGTACCTCAACGACCCGGACGCCCAGCACGCGCCGCGCCGGTCTGTGCACGCGCCCATTGGCACCAGTGAAAGACCAGGCAGTGCCAGCAGCTCCAAGAGCTCTATTCTCCGCAGTGGGAGGCAAAACATGTTCACGCTCAACGCGCAGTGCGACGAGGCGCTGGAGACGCTGGACTCGTGGTGCGACCACTTTGGCCTCGACCGAGCAGCCCTGTTTGATGAAGGTGGCAAGAAGCGAAAGCAGCTGCAGTTTGTTGGTATCATGCACCAACGGAAAGGAACCAGCGTGAAGTCCAGTCTGGCTGGCGAGATGGGCATGCTGAGTCCTGGACATGCCAGCACGGAAGAGAGTGATCTTCAGCTCCAAGAGGCTCACAATGACAGTGACTTGAGCGACAGTGAAGCAATCACGGGAGAAGATGGGAAAGACTATGCTGATTCGCGGGGTCAGTGCGACAGCGCCTTCAACAGCGTCATAGAGCAGGGGTCTCGCGGACCTGTGAGTCACCACGACAGCGTCACAGGCAACCTGGGCAATGCTGTGCTTGGAAACGGCAACCGTCGTGTGCAAGCAAGAAGAAGTGCGCAGGCGTGGGCTCCGTTGACGAGCGAGCACCTGATGGCCGCACGCGGGGCGCGGCAGCTGGCCCAGGCGCTCGACGTGTTGGACGAGCAGTGCGAGGCGGCTGTGCTGCAGTTTCTCTTGAGCGTGCTTGAAGGGCGGCTGAAGAAGGACTCTGTGCTGGATGTTTTGTGCTTGCAGTTGTTCCCGGAGAACACGGGCACACAGAGCACCGATTTCAAGCAGTGTGCCATGTTTCGGATGCTGAACGAGCACTACGTGAGCGCAGGCCAGCAGCGCCGCAAGAACAAGAATGAGCGAAATCAAGCGTTTGAGGCCGTGTCACTCGTGCCGAGGCAGACCCTTCACGATGAAGACGTGGCGCTGCTGTACTACATGATGATACGCATGTTGAGCGAGCTGGCAGAGGCCAACGGGTCCGGTCTGCGCCAGCTGCTGTTGGAGTGGGAGGACAAGGCGGCGCCCTCAATCCGGCAGCGCGTGGCGCGGGTGGAGCTCGTGCACCAGGATACGCTTCAACCCGTGTACATGCAGGTACCGGACATGGTGCGCCAGACCAAGGACAGTTTGCAGGTGCGGCAGCTGCGAAATGCCATGATCAACGATAGCGTACTGCTAACGCCCGAACAGCGGCTGCACACCTTCTTTGACGAGGCGCCATTGCTGATTGACGTGATGGAGTTTGAGAGCAAGGCCAGCGGCTACCGGCTGTCTCACATTGTGTCGCACCAGCGCGTGCTGCTGCTGTGCTGCTTTCTTCTTGCCTTGTTCATCAACGGCTGGGTTGTGCTGGCCCCGCCGCCCACGCGCCCAGAACACCACGCTATACCACGCATCGCCGCCACCGTGCACACCGCGCTGGCCGCGCTCATCATTGCCGGGCAGTCGCTGGCGCCGCTGCGCGTGGACATACAGCGGTGGCACGAGGCGAGCGAGGGCTTGTCGCTGACGAGGAAGATTCTGTTGTTCCCCGTGCACTGGGCGTTGCACGCAAGCTACACCTACTATGTGCTATACCTGATTCTGAGCGCTGTGGGCATCTCGCACCTTCAGTTCTTCTGCTTCCATCTCTTTGATGTGGTGCTGCGTGTTGAGGTGATGACGCTTGTGCTGCGAGCGGTACGCGTCAACCTGTCAAAGCTGATTGGCACGTTTGTCCTAACCTTCTTCATCATCTACGCATTGATGCTCATTGGCCGCGATGCGTTTGGTGGCAATTACGGGTTTGCCGACTCTGATGCCGCCTGCACAAGCAACCACAGCATGATTGAGTGCCTGAAGGACCACCTGTACTACGGCTTCTACTCGTCGCCCGTGTTTGGGTCGGAGGCGTCCACGTGGGAGTTTGCCTACGCATTGATCTACTTCATGGTGGTGGTGCTGGTGATGGCTGCGATTGTTTCCGGTATCATCATCGACTCGTTTGGCGAGTACCGTGCTGAGATGGAGGCGATTTCTGCGGAGAAAGAGACGCGGTGCTTCGTGTGCAACTTCAGTCGTGATCATATCCAGGAGTCTGGCGAGGTCGGGTTTGAAGGGCACGTTGCCAACGACCACAACGTGTGGAACTACGTCTGGCTCATTGTGCGCGTGCTGGAGAAGCGGCGGACGCACCAGCTACTGACGGGCGTGGAGATTGAGATTGCGCGCCATTGGGACACCATCACCAGCATCGGGCCCATGATGCCCGTGAACAAGGCGCTCTGCTTTGGCGCACGCGAGATGCATGTGGAGGACGACGTGCAGCAGTTGGCGTTGTCATTCCACCAGTTTGCTGCATCCACGGAGAAGGCGCTTCAGACCATTCTCGCACAGCTCTCTGAGCTCAAAGAACGTGCGCATGCCAAGTAGCAAGGGGGGGGCATTTGCGTGTATGTATTCACGTCCGATGACGCCTGCTTGTTGCTGAGTCGGATCCATTTGCCTTGAGGGGTGTGTTTGCTGTGTGTTCTTGCGGATCTTTGTGTATTGTCGTGCCTCACATGGTGTTGAGGCTTGATGTGACTACGCACGTGTTGGAGAACAGATTTGCCAGGTTTCTCTATCTCTGATTTGGTTATTGTGATGCTTGCATGTGCAGTACACTTCTACTTGCTCGTGCCCGTGGGAGCGTGGGTGCCGTAGTGCCGTGTTGTTGAGTGCTTTCTTGACTTGACCCTGCTGTCGACGTGAACTAGGATTGAAGCATGGAAGGAGGAACGCAGACGAAGACAGGAGGAAATAATGGCGCTGGCGAGAATTGGGGGTGGGGAGGGAGGGGCGGCGGTGTCTTTGTTTGTGTGCTGACAGGAAGGGAATACTGGAATAAGAAGCAAAGAATTGTGTCGTGGAGGATGGGAAGCAGGGCAAGGCCGCAGCGGCCAAATGTGACTCATGTCAGCAAAATTCTGCGCTGCCACTTTTCGCGTTTGCGTGTTTTGCTTTGTTTTGCACCACTACACTCCCTCCGCTGTTGTCCTGTCCACCGCACACCACACTGACTGTGTCCTGTCCACCGCACAGTGCTGTCCTGCGCACCAAAGCACCATGAGCTTGAATCGCCCTCTTCTTGAAGAGGAGGAGCTGCTGGTAAGCAGCTCCGGCGATGCAGTCAATGCTGAGGAGAATGACGCGGGCTCCGTCCTGTCCAGCACGCTGGACGACATGGACGACATGGACTACATGGAAGGCGATGATTTCCTTGACGATGCCACCGTGGTCAACATGTGCGACGTCACTGACGAGGACGAGCAGGACCAGGAGGGGCAGCGTGCCGTTCAATACTTGAAGAAGCAGCTGGCCAGACTTGAGCGCTCCGCCAACAAACGGTCCACCATGATCCCCATCATTGCTGTCACCCGACGCGCCCTCACCAGCACCGCAATCCTTTGTGAGAGATGGGCGTGCTGTGGAGCACTCTTCAAGCAGTGTGCACTGCGTTGGAGCAATGGCACTACTTGTATGCGTGCAGTTTTGCTGCTTGTGTTATCGTGTCGCGGTGCTCCGCAACCTGTTCCAGCCCTTGTCTGCCTGTGCTTCAGCAGGAGCTGCAAATGGCTCATATTTGTCTCATGTATGCTGTGCGTGCGCTCGTTTAGGGATCATTTATGCTCTGGCTTGGGTGGTTATCGTGGAGCGCTGGGTGATTGCGGTGTGTACGTAGGTGCTGCATGCGTGCTTTTGTTTGTATGTGCGAAGGTGCTACGTGTGTGTGTGTGCATGTGTGTGTGTATGCGTGTGCGTTGTGGCTGCCTGTGTGGTGCGTGCTTGTGTTTGTATGATGTGTGTGCGCGTGCGCATGCGTGTGTGTGTGTGTGTGTGTGTGTGCCTGCAAGTCCTCAAGTCTGCTCCAACCTCAAAAGAAGCTGTTTAGGCTTGCGTCACGCCTGTGCCTGTATGCAAGCTCATGTCCTTCCTACCCTACCTTGTAGCAGCACCTCCCCATTCCTCCCACTTCTCATCGGGTCGGGTGCATTATGCATGCATTGGACACGTGCAGGATATCCAACGGAACAGCGCCTCTGACAAGAACAAGAGCGAAAGCCGTTTTCCGCCCATCGCAACCACTCTCATTTCCCTGGCCTTCCTCAACATGCTGCACCTCATCAGGTAAGGTTCGAACGAGAACGCTCCTCCCAACCGACTGACTGTGCGCACTTGCTTGCATGGCGCGACGACCATGACGACACTCTGCCACCACGCTCACGTCAATCAACAACTTGCACCCGCACCAACAACTTGCATCCCCTTCAACAACACCAGGCGCCGATCACACTACATTGCCAAAACACCGGCAGATGTGATGCGGTCGCTTACTGCTGGCCTCTCGTCCGGCACGTTTGCTGTGTCGTATTCCTGGGGGCATTGGACCAAGACGGTTGCACGCAACGCGTTCAAGTGCTTTGCAAACGGTGTGTGCTGGATTGACATCCGTAACATCTTGCCGGGCCACCGCATCCAGGACACGTGTGCAGAGGCCATGGCAAACGCTGATGCAGCCATCGTCTTCCTGTCGGACCAATACCTTCGGTCGCAAAACTGCTGCATCGAGCTTCTCAACCTGGAGCCACAGTGCGCGAGGGTCTTGGCAGCCATGCGCAACAACTGGATCGACGACCTGCAAGATGCCGAGAGCAATGGCGGCACTGGCACGATGCCAGATGGTGGGCGCAGACCTCGCGTCGCCGGAACACAGCGGAATACTACCGAGTTTGACACCTACACCCTCTCCCAACTCCTGCAAAGAGAGCCTGGCCGTGCGTCCCGCCTTGTCGTCATCGTCAGCCTGAACGCTTTCGACAATGTGCGTGGTGTGTGTGGCCGGGGGGGGGGTAGGAGGAAGCGTGTGTGTGTGCATGTGTGAGTGTGCATGTGTGTGTGTGTGTGTGTGCATGTGTGTGCGTGCGTGTGTGTGCATGTGTGCATGTGTGTGTGTGCACTTGTGTGTGTCAAGACTGCACGCGCTTGTCCTTGGTACGTGCAGGTGTGTACACTAGCCAACCTTGCTGGCATGCACCTTTATTGGGTTGGTGCTTCATTCGTGGCTCCACCTGTCAGCCGCCTTTCTTGCACCAGAATTCACGCGTCCCTCTCTTCCCACATCTTCACAACCATCCCTGCTTGTCCACAGCAACGTGAGCTCCGGACTGAACTCGTGAGCATCCTCAGCAATGCAGGGCACTACGTCTGGTTTGCAAGGCCATCCACAGAGATCCAACTGCGTCGTCGCCTCCCAAGGTCCAGCCTTGCTACTTTTGCTCCGTGTGTGTGTGTGTGTGTGTGTGTGTGTGTGTGTGTGTGTGTGTGTGTGTGTGTATGTGTGTCCCGTGGTTGTCTTTTTGTTTTTTCACCCTGCATGTGAGTGTGTGCAAGGCCCTATGGCCGCGCAGGGTGCACGCTAACAGCTGCACAACGTTGCATTGATCTCGCTCACTTGCCCATGAGATTCAAGTTGCATTTGTGCACCACTGCTCTGTACACACAATTGCACCGAGCATTGTGAGGTCCTGTATCGCCTATTGCTCGTGTTCACGACGTATGTTTGCGTTCCCTGGCTCTCCTACCTGCTCTGCAGGCTGGTGTTGGAAGGGTTTTTGCGAATCAACACATTTCAAGACATTTACAAGCGACAACAAACAACGCCGGCCGTCAATGATTACTGGCACGGCACCGCCGCATCCATGTTCAAGACGGTGTGTGTGCTGTTATTCTGTGACGAGACCTGCTTCGTTTCAAAACTGTTGCTGGCTGCACATTCGGCACATTGTAATGCATCCCTTCAACCAACGCTTACGGTTGTGTGGTTCCTTTGCTTTGATTTCGTTCAGGCCAACCTCCACATTGCCACGCCTTTGTTGGCACTGCTCATGTGTAAGTCATTCCTGTTTGAGAGTTGGGAGTTTGGGTCACTAGGAACGGGTGTTTGAAGCTTTCGTGGTGATAGCTGACCGCAGCCCATTGTGTGTGCAATGCATGTATGCAGTTGAGACAGTGTTGCGCCCTGTGTTTGTTCATGTTTGCTTTGCGCTATTGCACTCATGTGTGTTCAATGGCACAAGCTGGCTCGTCACGACCTGTTATCCACTCACGCATCCTCGTCACCTCACTGATTGCTCTGTTCGCGATGGTCGTGCCAATTTGTTCATGTGTAAAGGGGTCGTTGATGGTGTGTTCTTTGTCGTGGCGAATCTGCAGGACGACACGACGGACACCAACCTCACCAGCTCAGGCATTGAGCTGCTGATCGACATTGTGGCAGCGGCACTGATCAGTGAGTCAGGCGAAGTTGAGCATAAGTGTCTTCGTTCGTTGTTGTTCTTTGGCTGCTGATGCTGCGTGCAGATGGCATGCTGTCCCTGCTTCTCGGCTGCCTGTAAGCACACACGTCAACATACACGCACACACACACATGCACATGCACACGCACACACATATCCCACACATACACGTCAACACACGCACACACATGCACGCATGCTCATGGCTCACGGCTGCACCCTCGCTGCACCATCCTGTGCTGTCGTGCAGTTGTTGCACTCGCCGTGCACATTGCACTCGTCGTTGCTATGCGTGGATCGTACTCGCACAAGCACATGCGGTGGCTGTGGATCATCAACCCGCTGATTGGCATCGAGTACCTGCTGTCCTACATCTCGCCACCCATTGCGCAATCCATCGACTTTGCGTCCCTGCCTGATGCGGGCTATCTCCTGGCCATTGTCGTGCGCCTGCGCATCGGAAAGCGGCTGCGTGTGTGCGCAAAGGGGATCGCCAAGATGCCGCAACTCGTCAAGGGCGCCCTGCGCACACTCATCCAGTGAGCAGCCGCCGAGCAGCGTGGGGGTGTGGCGGTGGTGCTTGTGGTTGTCCTTGGCGCCCATCAATCTGCCTCGCTTGGGGGGCAACCAGTGCCAATGTTCCCTTGACTTGTTGGTGTCTTGGTTGCCTGCGTTGCACGCGTGTGTGGTGGTGTCTCCTACACGTTCATTCCTTGCTTGCGTCACGCCTTGGTTGCCTTCACAGGTATGGCGTGATTCAGATGACGGACACCCAAGACCAGGCTGACTTTTCACTCGTCTGTCTTGACGTAGATGATGGTGTGACCGTTCGGAAGCCCCGGCTGGGGTTTGGATCAACAGGTGAGGGCAAGGGAGGGGGGAACAGAGATTGCGTATGTTCGTGTGTGTGTGTGTGTGTGTGTATGCGTGTGTATGTATGTGTGTGTGTGTGTGTGTGTGTGTGTGTGTGTGTGGGTGTGTGTGTGTGGGTGGGTGTGTGTGGGTGTGTGGGTGTGTGTGTGTGTGGGTGTGTGGGTGTGTATGTATGTGTGTATGTATGTGTGCATGTATGTATGTATGTGTGTATGTATGTATGTGTGTATGTATGTGTGTGTGTGTGTGTGTGGGGGGGGGGTTGTGTGTGTGTGTGTGGTTGTGGGTGTGAGTACAGCCGCGTGGGAGAACCCATGGGCCAGCTAGTGTGCGTAATGTTCGCTTTGATGCTTGTCTTGGCCACTCTTCACCCACAGGAGGCGTTAAGCTCTGTGTTCCTGAAAACCTAGACACTTCTGGCGCCACTCTCTACTGGACACGCTTCACGCTTGAAGACATTGTGTACGTGGCATAACAACTGCTTGCAGGCTCGCATTGTGTGCTCAGTCATTGCGTCGCGATACATTTGGTTCTCGTTCTGTTGTTGTAATGTGATATGGCTGCTCTCTCACGCTCGTAAGGCACTCCTTGTTGTTGCTACTGTTGTCGTGCTTTTGCTTTGTTCGGTCACCCACCTACACACTGTCATTTTGTGTCCACAGCAAGGTTGCCCCTGATGCAAAGACGGCCATGATCAAGTGCTCCAGCAACAAGCAGCTCACCAGCGCGCAAGCCTGTCCAGGGTGAGTCTTTGTGCGCACCGCACGTGCGTGCTGGAGCGTGCTGTCCCTATGGACCTCATGCTGGCGTTCAGTTGATTGCAAAAAGCTGTCTTGTTGACGTGCGCAGACACGTTCGTTGACAGTGGCCCACACGATGACACACACACGAACACTCACAAATACACAGGCCAGAACCCACGTCCCACACTTTTCACACACACAGAGCTCACCACACCACAATGCAACATTGTTGTTGCCGTTGGCCACCACCATCCCTTGCATCTTCTGTTCTTGGGGTTTGTAGGTTGGAGACGATATTCGTGCAGATGCTGAAGCGCTCCCTCGGGCTGACGCTGACGGCGCACGTGGCCGCTGGTCGAGGCAACTTCGAGGACATTGATTTTGAAGACGTGCAGCAGTCTTCTTTCCTCTCCAAACTCTTTGCATAGATGGGTGTGGTGGTGGTGGTGGTTGTGGAGTGCCACAACAAGAGTTCCTACAAGAGCATCACAAGCCTTAAGCTTACATGGCCTCCATAGCCAACCGGGGTAAATGCTACAGAGCCTCTTTTATTCCGGCTGTGGAGGTGACGTTGTTTGCATTGTTACTCATCATGTGCTGTGTGTGCTTGCTTGGAGAGATGCTGGTACGTGCGCTGTGGGTTGTTGTGTGCTGGTCTCTGCTGGTGCAGTTAAGTGGTGCCAAGCAAGATAAAGACACTGCTTGCCGGTTGCTTGCTTTTGGTTCCATTGCTTGGTGTACAAAGGGATGGGACGGGTAACAGCACGAAGGGTCAGACCACGTGCACGGAGGGTAGGAACGGAAAGTGACAGTAACAGTTGCACGTGTAAACGAAAACGACGAACACTGAGTGCAGCGCCACACCGCTCACTCCTGAATGCGGAGAACACGTTCGCTGAATGACAGGGCGACACCACCTCCCGAGTTGATGGATGCACAGGCACGAAGGGGAAACGGAAACGAGTCAAAGATGTTGGTGATTGTGTGGTCACAGCAGCCCATGTCATGCGACAATGGCTGATTTGGAGCGGACTGGAATGCGTCGCCAGCGTTGCCACTCGTGCAGTCTTGTGTTTCGAAGTTGCCGCTGCCCGGAAATGTTTCGATGGCAATCCAGTGGCCACTGGGCGCAGCTCCGAAATCATCATCACAGGAGGTGGTGTACACCTGCACAAGTAGAAGCAGAAGCATGAAGGCGTATGGAGTGAGTTGGCATGGGCAGACGCACGGATACACGGCACACATGCACACACAAGCACATTTGTATGCATGCACACTCACGTCAAAGTTGCGATTGCTCCTGCTCTTGCTTAGCGAGGAGATGCGCGTCACTTGCTCAGCTGTAAGATCGTGGCCACCGGATTTGTAGGCGATGTCAAAGTACGCTTCGCATTGCAGCGTGTCCACGTTCGCAGGGATTGTCCCGATGTACCACTCTCCGGTTAAGTCCTGCAATGTGAATGTGGATGACGCGGCTGTGACTGTGTCGAGAAACGTGGAATGGTTCGCAGGAGGCCAAGCACGCTGAGCAGTGGACACAGGGGCGGGCTTTTTGATGGTTTGACCAAAAGCGCGGTTATGATGTACCTGCAGGCGCTCCATGGCAGCGGAGCAATCACACTTGTACCAGTTTCTCAACGTCAGCTGGGAGAACATCCACCCAGTTGAGGAGAAGTTGCTTCCCTGCACATCCAACTCCACGAACCCGTCCATGCATGTAACCTGCGTGTGTAAATGCGAATGTGAATGTGCATGACATGTGCGCATGCATGCATGGGCGTGCATGTGCGCGTGGAATCGGCGCAGCTGCTGTGCTGTTTTTCATTGACATGTTGTTCAGCACTCAATCTTCACTGAACAAACACACACACACACACACACACACACACACACACACACACACACACAACCTCGCGCAAGTACGCCGCACCTGGAATGGCTCGGCTTCTCCAATGGAGATCCACTTTGTTCCGTCTGCATTCTCTGGAAAGCTGGGTCAGGCAAGGAATGGGTGAACAAGCACAGAGTACGCAAGTGTAAGCACGGTACATAGGGGAGCAAGAACAGAGCCAACTGAGCACCAGGCAAGAGCACTCTCTAAGCTCACAGCAAACTGCATCGCCACACTCACTTTTCTTGAATCGTCTTGCACGAGTACCCAACGTTTTCGCGTGTGTCGCCGTTGCTGCCAAGGTTTGTGGCTGGGATGCTGCTCATGTCACAAACCACGTGACGGGTGCCATCCGCTTTGTGCCTCACGAAGTACACACCGGAGACAAAGCCAAGCTGCCGCAGCTATTGAAAACAGCAAGCGAGCATTTAAGTTCCAGGCAAAGCAAAGAAGCAAAAGTGGTGAGAGCCCACAGGACAGTCACACCACCACACCACGTACACCACACATACGCACACTCACGCACGCCACGCACACCACCACCACCACACACTCCCTCACTCACAATCACACCTCTTCGCAGCTTGATGCTGGGTTGAGTGCTTCCTTGCCAGGGATCGGAGACACACACTTGTCCTCAATCAACAGCTGTGTACACAAAATTGTAGAGCGTAACCACAATTGCAAACAAACATGATGACCGTCATTAGCATTGACAGCGTAGCAGGGCAGAGGTCTCACTCTCTTCCCACACACATCAAGACAACACAGCAGAACTGCAGAAACGGGATAAGTCACAAAATCTGCGGACGCTTCGTACAACACATGGCAGCGTAAGTCTGCCCCACCTTTCCCTGTGCTGCACACGCCTTTATCGCTTGCACTTGTCCAAACAACTCCACGAGGTCCATGGCCTCCACCAAGACGGTGCCATTGCGTCCACTCTGCAGCACGAGGTTGCCGTGGTCGTCCGCTGCAATGATTGGCTTCTGCTCAGCCGGTCCATCTCCCATCGTACCTTCACCAGCGACACATACCGCCATTACCACTGGCACCAGCACCAGCGACAACCGCACGCTCAACCATCTCATGCTGCTTTGTTTTGTGGTCGACATGGAGACATGGAGACTTGGAGCGGAGCAAGGGAAAGGGAGCAGGACAAGGTGACACCCGAGGACGTGAGGACAAAGAGAGACAAGCCCAGACCAGACAAGCGACGCACAGCTGGAGCTGAGTGTCTTGTAGTTTGTGGTCGTCTCGCATCTGTTGCGGACAGAAGGGACGTTGGTTGTGGAGGATTTGCCATGTTCTCAACGAAAATTCCGGGGTGTTGGTGGCAACCGATTGCGACACCATAAGGTTTGCATTTTGTTCACTGCCGCCGCAACCGACAACCACCCAACGATCGACACAAACAACCAAACCAACCAAACCCCATCATCATCCAAACCCCCAGCCCACCACCATCGCCATGACCACTGTTGCCGACAACACGCATGCTGCTGAGCTGTCTGCGCTGATTCCCGCGCAAGAGACTGGTGCCCTTGCTATTCAGGTCAGGTTGTCACGCGTGCAACGCACCACCTTGTTTGTGTCGCTGCGTTGCATTCCATGACGTCAGTGAACATCATCGGTTGCAAGCCTTCATTCTTGTTTCATTTGCGCTCTCTCACATTGCACGTTCCTCTGCTCTTCGTCTGCTGTGATTTGGGGAATAGCGCAACGACCCGGAGTGTGACGGGCGTGGCATCCGCATCGCCGTCTTTGACACGGGTATGTGTTTGGATTCTTCTATCTGCATGTGTTGTGTAGGCTTGAGCATGCACGAAAGAGTCATATCACGCCACTGTGGCTGACGCACGACCACATTTCGTTGCATATTCTCTCGCCCATCCATAACTTCAGGTGTCGACCCTGCGGCCCTTCATCTCAAGACCACCACCGATGGCAAGCCAAAGATCATCGACATCGTTGACACCACAGGTGTGTTGAATCGCGTTGTACTGCAACGCATAAACCGTTTTACTTGCTTGCACGTGTGTGTTTGTGTGCTTGCGCGTGTGTGTTTGTGTGCTTGTATGTTTGTGCGTGTGTGCTTGTTTGTTTGTGTGTTTGTGTTTACGTGTTTGTGTGAGTGTCTTTGTGTGAGTGTGTGTGCTTTTGCTTTCACGGGCATATGAACACGAGCACTGATAGTGATGGTTTGCAACGCATTCGTGTTCTCGACAGGGAGTGGTGACGTTGACATGAAGAAGGTTGTCAAGCTCGGAGATGACCGCTCCTTCAAGACGCTTACAGGCCGCACCTTCAAGGTTGCATTCGCGCGCATGCGCGTGCGTGTATGTACGTGTGCGTCGATGAGTAAGACGCTTGCGTTTGCGTGTGTGTGTGTGCTTGTGTGTCCTCGCCAGTGCGTGCATGCACACCTTTGCGCTCACCGATTACCCAATCAACTGCTTGAACAAACACGCGTGTGTGCAGGTGCCGGAGGCGTGGGCGTGCCCGAGTGGTGAAGTCCGTGTGGGCGTGAAGGCGGCCTTTGAGCTATTCCCAACGCCGCTGATTCGCCGACTCAAGGTGCGCACGTTGAGTCGAAGTGGCGACATACATGCAATGCACGCACGCACGGGCGAGGATGATCTCGTGTGACTCATCTTCCAACCACACACACACACACACACACACACACACACACATGTATGCACACACACACACACGCGCACACACCCATATGTATGCAGCGCAAGCGGAAGGAAGACTGGGAGAAGAAAGCGCGTGCAGTGACGCGGGCGGCGGAGGCCGAGGAGACGGCGGCAAAGGACAAGACCCCCGACGACGAGGTGCTGCACACGAACACACGTGTTTACAACTTGCAACCTTGACTGTGCTTTGTTCTGTGTTGTGCGTTTGGAAGGCTGTGTGGTCGTGGAAGTGTTGAGATGGCGAGCGTTTGCTGTGTTCCAGTGTTCACCCCATCTTTCTCACCGCGTTTTTTAACACCTATTTGCTCTTTGCACTCTCCATCACCCTCTCCACCACTACTTCTTCACCATCACCACCGCCCTCTCCACCACGCCCCCTGCAGGCACGGCTGAAGGAGCTCAAGGCGCGGGTTGGGGCGCTGTCGTCCCACGTGGGCGGATACGCAGACCACGGGCCCGTCCTCGACTGCATCGCCTTCAACAACGGCACGGTGAGGACGAGGGAGGGATGAGGAGTTGGGCGGGGGAGGGGGATGAGACTTTTGATTGGATTGTGGATGTTGTTGTGGTTGTGGTTGTGGATGTGGTTGTGGTGGGTGCTACATGATAACGTGTGTTCATGTGCTGCTGTGACGCTGAAACACGCACCACAATCGTGTGCCCATCGTTTGCATGCACCACAACCGTGCGCCCATCGTTTGCATGCGCGTGCGCGTATTTGTGTTTGTTTTGTTGTGCAGGAGTGGATGGCCGTGGTTGCTGACGAGACTGTGACGGACTTGAGCAGCGTCAGCCCCATGGGCGATTACAAGTCAGTAGAGCAAATTGATGGTACCAACAAGGCTCACACTTGTATGCACACACTTGCACACCTGTGCGTTCTCACTGGCTTCTTTCTGCTTCTGTCTCTTGTTTTCTTTGCATCCTGTTGCGGGTTGCCTGCAGGCAACGGCAGGAGTACGGCCTGTTCTCTGACGAGGACCAGATGTCGTACTCGTTCAAGTTCTACGCAGACGGCGACATCCTCTCCATCGTCACCACCTCAGGTGCCGGCGGTGGTGGTGGTGGTGGTGGAAATGGAGTGGTGATGTAATTGAAGCGGTGATGATGGAAATGGAGCGGTGTTGCCGCATACACGAGCGCTAGCACACGCACATGTAACATGTACACACACACACACACACACACACACATGTACACACACACACACATACACACACACACACATACACACACACACATACACAACCTGCCAGGCTCGCACGGCACGCACGTTGCGGGCATCCTGGGAGCGCACGACGAGAGCAGCAGCGAGCGCAACGGCGTCGCGCCCGGGGTGCAGGTCGTCTCCGTGAAGATTGGGGACGGGCGCTTGGACTCGATGGAGACCGGTGCCGGCATCATCCGCGGTGTCAACGCCGCCATCGACAACGGCTGCCACCTCATCAACATGTCCTTTGGCGAGGCAAGCGCCGTGCCAAACGCCGGGTACGTAAAGTGATGGTGTTGGTGGTTGTGGGTGGGGGTGACCTTGGTGATGGTGTCGGTGTTGGTCGTGGTGGTGGGTTTGCACATGGTTGCCGTCCTGTGTTATGGCGTTCATGTCTGTGCGTATTCGTGTGCATGCGACTGTCTTCGAAAGAGTCCAC